CGACGAAAGCTAATATAAGTGGTTTCCTGTATTCGTTACATTTCTCCATGACTGTTTTAAGAGTCTAAAGATGATCACTTGTACTGAAGCCTGAGCGAAAATCCTGCCTGTTCTCTGGGTTGGAAAAATTCTAGTTTTCTGTCGAGCTTGTTAACCACAACTGGAGAGAAAATCTTGTAAATATGGGACATTAGACTGATGGGTCTGTAGTTTTCCAGATACGTAGGGCGCACTATAAGTTTCCGGAATTAATAAGAAAAAAATAATATAAATGGTCACAAAGCAATTAATTGTTTCTCAAAATATTCTTCGTTACCGTTAATGCACTTTTTCATACGAATGAACCAATTTTAAAAACATTTATGCCACTCCTCCGGGACAATCTCTGAAACATATATTTCATACTCTTCGACAGCCCCTTCAGGTGATGAAAATTGTTCACCGCGTAACTGGTTGTTAATTTTTGGAAATAAATAAAAGTCACAAGGTGCCAGGTCGGGACTGTACGCGGGATGGCGCATAAGGTCAACGTTGTTCACCTTCAAAAATTCATTTGTCTGTCTGGCCGAGTGAGAACTGGCATTACCGTGGTGCAAGATGATACGGCGTTTACGCTTATTTTTACGGAGATTGACAAACCTCCGGCAAACAAATGGTCGTGTACCAATCACTATTCTTTTTAACTGCCTCTGTGGCCGAACGGTTGCCGTGCCGGACTGCCACGCAGAGGCCCCAGGTTCGATTCCCGGGCCGGGAGAAATATTTGTATGGCCTACATTTATTTATCTCGTGAGTCTGGGTGTAATTTGTGGTTGTCTATATGTGTGTCCATAGCACCCGCGACACAGGGTTTCCCTAGTGCGGGGCTATGTTGAGTGTTTGCGTTTTTATTATTATTATTATATATTCACGGTACAACGATTCTCCGAAGCGACAGTAGACACGTGTCCAGTTTTATTTAAAAAAAAAGAAGTAATCATCCGCTTAGAGGCACTTTTCACGCGCGCCACTTTGGTTGGTTTCGGCTCATTTTGAAAGACCCATACGCTCGATTGCTGCTTTGTTTTGGGACCGTAACTATAAATTCATGTTTCCTCACCTGTTGCAATGTCCCACACCAAATATGATAGCGTCAAGTCGTATCCTTACGTACTTCAGAAGAAACTATTCATATATCATCAATAATTGCGAAGATTTAATAAAGTAAACTTTTCATGGCGGCCATCTTGGATTCGCCATTTTGGAAAATTTTTAGTCCCGGTAGAACCTGATCAGGTTCCTTAACAATTTTTGTTTGAAAGCCATACACCCATCTTTGACGCATTAACCGGGCAACTGGTGTCCTACCTGATGCAGACTACTTCTTTTCTGGTATTCAATATTCTTAGTCAAACACAATCCTTGTACATTTATTTAACACACCTCGATTCGTTCTATTAGAACAGTGGTGTTGGATGGTGGAAAATGTACTGTAGAAAATGGCGGAATCAAAAAATCCACAAACGCAATGTTATATATGGGACCTTGTACACGGTCACGTGCCAAATTTCAGCACGATCGGTGTTTTTTTCTGGCTGCCATCTTGAATTGGCCATTTTGAAAAAATAAATTTGACAGCCGATTGGCTCTTGTCATCCGCACGGACATTAGTTTGAACATAAGTTACCTATCTGTAATAGTTTCAGAGATATAGTCCCCAGAAATTTGTGTGGAGGCCATTTTGTTTTGCGAATTTTGATTTTTTTTTACTCCGGGTAGAAACTGCCCAGGGTGTGGAGTATCATTTGTTTGGAAACCATAGGGGTAAGACGTATAGTGTGGCCGGGCAGCTGGGGTCCTACCTGAGCACTTTTCGAAGGGTTTGGTACTTTCTGATACTCACCAAATCCACCCAATCATTATTCGCATACATCAGTCTTATACACCCGCTTTTCTTCTGGGAGAAAATGCTGGTGAAAAAAACCGACAACTCACTTGGCGGCCATCTTGGAAAATGGCGGAATTAAAATTTCGATCGCAGATCCATACTATGAGCCTCCGTACACGATCGAATGTCAAATTTCAGTCGGATCGGAGTACTTTTACTTCGGGCCGCCATTTCGAGTCCGCCATCTTGAAAATTGTTTTTACCTGCAGTTGGCTCGCACTATTCTGTACGACATTTGTTTGAGCGCCTCTCCTCTATCTCCAATACTCGCCGAGATGTAGACCTCGGAACATAGTAGACTGTTGAAAATGAATGGCGGCCATATTGGAAAATGGCGGAATCGAGAATTTGCCCACAAATTCGTATTAAGGGTTTCCAGACATGAAAGGCTATAAAATTTTAGCCGGATCGGAGCACCTTTTTGTCGGGCCGCCATCTTGAATCGGCCATTTTGAAAAACTCATTTCAACAGCCAGTTAGATTCTGTTGCCCTCTACGATATTAGTTTGAACACGATCTACCTATCTCCAATAGTTCCCGAGGTACAGGCCCCCGAAATTTGTATAGCGGCCATTTTGATTTTCGAATTTTGAATTTTTTTCACTCCCCGTAGAAACTGCCCAGGGTGTGAATAAACGTTTGTTTGGACACTTTGAGTCAAGACACATACTTTGGCCGGGCAGCTGGGGTCCTACCTGATGCAGAGCACTTTCCGAAGATTACGGTACTTTCTGATATTCATTCAAGCCCGTCTGACCATAATTTTCCTACATCATTTTTACCCACCAGAAGAAGGGCTTCTGGGAAAACAATGACGCCAAAGGGCAGAAAATTCATATATGTATATTATGGCGGCCATCTTGGAAAATGGCGGAATCGAAATTTCAATCGCGAATTCGTATTGTAGACTCCCATTCACGGCCGCATGCCAAATTTCAGCTGGATCGGAGCTCTTTTATTTTGGGCCCCAATTTTGAGTCGGCCATCTTGAAAAAATTTTTTCACCGGCAGTTGACCCCTACCACCCTCTATGACATTTGGTCGAGGACCCCACGCCTATCTCCAATACTCGCCGAGTTACAGGGATCTGATATTTGTATGGCGGCCATATTGTTTTTTCGAATTTCGATTTTTTTACTTCCGGTAGAAATTGCCCAAGGTGGCGGCCATTTTTACTTTGACGATCCTTCCGGTAGGCATTATACTTTAGCCGCCAGCCGAGGTGCCACCTGATACACCACTATTCAAAGGTTTCGGATTTTTCTGGTACTCACTGTAGTCATCCGACCACGACTCCCGTACATCATTTTTACCCACCGCGACTCCTTCTGGGAGAACAATTATCTAAATCACTGGATCAGTCAGTGGTCCAGCTATACATATATAGTATTAATAAAATAATAATAATAATAATACTGTTTATGTAAGTGGCCAGTTCCGGAAACTTATAGTGCGCCCTATGTATAAGTAACATATAAGTACGTATTTTGTATATCAAAATTAAACTTATAATGCAACAGTTCTATTAGCAAAATGATTTATCGATATAGAAGCGAGCGAAATGTGGTGCTGTTCCGACCTCGTATCTACATGTTTATGTTTATGAAAACTTTTTATGTAGTGATTGCATTGACTTACAATTATATGGACGTCGGGTCCGCGCTAAAAAGTGTCCGCACTTGTAAGGCGCTAAAATCGTATACAGAGCGCCAAACTCTTTACAAACCGCTTTAGTCTTCATTTGTTCAACTGACAGCGCGATACTGCGATGACATAACAATTTAAATTTCGAATAGGTTGACTTGGGACATTTTTTTCGTGGTTTTTGTATTAGACCCGTCGTCCATTTATTTGTAAGTCAATGAGTGATTGCTTAATTTTTTTGTAATACACGTTATGACTATGGGTAGTTTAAGTGATTTGGTGGATATTATGGATTTAATTTCCGGCCGAACGTTTTAAATGAAGCGGAGACCGGTTTTTTGAGGTCACCTAGACCTCAAAAAACCGGTCTCCTGCGACCAAAAGCTAGTAAGAATATATTGTGGAAAACGCATAAATATGCTGTTTTCACACAAATGTATCGAAAAACGTCGTGGGTTACACGAGAGTCATCGTTATTGCAAATTCATTACGTTCAAAACCTCGCTCGGGTTTAAAGTAGCAATTCGTTTGCTATTGTAATAATATATTATTACCTACTCTTCGCCTTAGTTATTATTTCGACTCATCCGTAGAACAAAGATCTATATGCAAGACTACTTGTTCTCAGGACACTTACATACTTACGTACATTTCGCTCGTTCTTCTTCGCTGTGGATGTCAGATCGACCGTTGCTCGATTTTATATTTCCGAAACGAAATAAGATATATAAATGCTCAAAGCACCTTTACATAGGCCTTAGTTTGAATAACTAAATTATTCTCGTAACGCATTATCTTAATAAACTATCAACTTATTATCTTTTCCCTATATAATCACATCGGACTCTGTTCTTCAGACGAGTCGATTTATCAAATCGTTATATAGATGATGGAAAAAAATAAAGGAATCGTTAGCAGAATTAAAGTGACAGCTTCATAAAAAACAGTTGCATGCCTAGCACGAGGAAGTACTAATTCAAACGTATGTGGAAAAAGTAAATATGATGATGTAAGTTGACCTCACAATGGTCATCATCTCTGTTACCAAATTTGCGTCGGATAAGGACGATACAATATATCGATATTTCTTAGAACAAAGGGCGTAAAAGTCAATTTTACTAATAAAGTGTTGTTTATGTAGTTGGAATCAATTTCCATGCTCCTTCTGTCTATTCGCCAAAAAGACTTCTTTTTACGTAAAAAAGCAGTTCTAAATATAAAAATGATATAAGTATAATAAATAACTAAAATGTTTTTAAATTGCTTGCTTTTCCATCGTCTTGGATACTTTGTTGTTTGGTATTTACGTCCCTTCTTCCTCGAAGTATCGATATGATGTTAAATTTGCCTACCACAGAGAACTTCAGAACTTGTCTTTTATCCTCAGTCCCTATAAATTGCAGAGCTCACATCACGTACGCCGCGCGTTCGGTTGTCTTCGCTGGAGTCTCGCGTCGAATCGTTAGACCGTGACCAACAACAGTGGTCTCACTCACTCTAGTAATGGTTATATCATATCGTCTCAGTGTCGTTTAGGCAGTGCTGTTGACAAGACACGCTGTCAAATGAGGTGCAGCAAAGTTCCTCGCGTGAAGTGCTGACGCTGATTGGTGACCTTGGACTTGCACAACTTGTGTGATTACCACGTATTACCTAGTGAATTGAGATATTATAACCTCTAAAATGTCCGACGTCGCACAGGATCTCTTGCAGGATGCGGTCGCCGACGATAGCGGGTCGCTATTTAGCACATTTGACATAATCATGCTTGTTGCATTACTGGGTGCAGCTGTTTGGTGGTTATACAGTTCTAGAAAAGAAAACAAGAAAGATGAGATTCTTCTTAGCAAATATTCAATACAGTAAGTATAACAACTTTTAAATTTTAGCGGAATCAAATATAGATACAAGAAATATATTATATGGGGGTTTAGAAACATCGAATAACAACCTCTGTATTTGTTGATAATGATTTGAAAAATGTATTTTGTAATATGATTATATTTACCAAGAATACTGAGCTAGGTATATCGAATTAGACCGATTACATGCGAAAAGTAATACCTTGTGGTCCTGCAACTACTGACACGCAACAAGCGTCGCGTCTCGGGGCAAATAAATTAGGCGCAAAAAGAACTGGCATGTTAACTTACCAACATTTGATATTCTAACTTCCCCTACCGCACTGCTTCGTATTTTGAACATATCCACTTAATACGTATTGTTTTCCGATTTGCAATGCATTCTAAACGGATTCAACCGTGTAATAATAATATGTGTATATTAGGCATGCACCTGATTATTGGATTCATCTCAATAAGTTGTAATCTAACAACTCGGTGTCGTTTTGTAAACTAATCGACTCCACTTGTCAGATTGGGTGTTCATTTCAGCTGAGGCCCTAGTGACGCTTTTCAAATGCATTTTTGTTGCATTATTCAACGCTAACCGACGATGCTGTGCCTTCTCTACTCTCGTGCTTGCAACCAATACACACAATAAATATGCATTTGTTCAACTTTCGCCACCATTAACATATCACAATCTTCTCGATGGTGATGCAATAATAATTTAATCAACCTACACTAAACCTTCCCGTGGCGTAACCCGTACGACGTCATGTTACTTATCTTTGATAAAATTCGAGATTCAATATAATTATATAGTAACGAGTCCCATAGGTTTATTTTTCAATGAACTATAGGTACCTGTACAAATTTTTATTTACATCTACAATTACTAAGACAGAGAGAGTCACGATAACAATGCATTGGCACACAAAGACTTATTATATTGTCAATTGCACTGAAAATAAACATGAATAACTCATTTAACATAAGCAAGTCATTAAGTTAATATAAATCTTATCATTTGAAGTTTAACGTAAATAATAATACGTTAATTTTCTCAGTATTTATACCAATACTCATAATACCAATACTCTAGCTATGATGTTGTGTCTAAATCACAGAGTCTAGATAGTGAATACAGTTGACAACTCGTATCACGCACGAACTGTGACTAATAGTTATTTAATTAATAACTTATACAGATTAAACTAGATTAGCACAAAGTAATTAAATTTACTTTGTGCTTTTCGTCATCATCATTTCAGCCGTAAGACGAACATACTGCTGAACATAGGCCTCTTCCAAAAAATGCCACAAGGACCTGTTTTGCGCCGCTTGTATCCAGCGGATTCCCGTAACCTTCACCAGGTCATCAGCCCACGTGTTGTGGTTGGTCTAGCTACGCTGCGTCTTCCGGTACGCGGTCGCCACTCGAGAACTCTTCGGCCCCATCGGCCATCTGTTCTGTGAGCAACGTGCCCTGTCCACTGCTACTTAAGTTTTGTAATTCTTTGGGCTATGTCGGTTACTCTGGTTATCTTGCGGACATCATCATTACTGATTCGATTTCGTAGTGAAACTCGGAGCATAGCCCTTTCCATTGCCCTTTGTGTGACCTTGAGCCTTCTTATGCGGCCCATAGTGAGCGACCACGTCTCAGTAAGTCATCACTGACAACACGCACTGGTCGAACACGTTTGTTTTGATACACTGTGGTATTTTGGACAAGAAGATATGACGTAACTTCCGGAACACTGCCTAGCCGAGTCGGATTCGACGATTGACCATTTTCTCGAGTTAGACCTACCTAACTGGATTATTTGTCCCCGCGCAGTCGCAGAATACCCACTTCGCAAAATGTCTACCGTACGCAAAAAGTCCGTTTCTCAGAATGTCCCTTTTGTACAATGTCCCTTTCGCAAAATGTCCCTTTCGTAAAATGTCCCTTTTCCAGAATGTTCCTTTCGCAGAATGTCCCTTTCGCAAAATGTCCTTTTTTACGATCAAATTTTGAGAAACAAAATACACAGCGATGATGTAGGGACGGGAACTGACGTGTACTTTAGTACATATAAACTTTAAGCCATCCCTATCAACCTCTTAGTTCTACGGGAAGAGCACAATAACCTGTGCAAGCAAGCCTGTACAGATACTTTATCAGTCAGGTCCCAGATGAGCTCGTTTATACAGATTTCATCCGTTTCTCAAAAGGCTAGTGCCTTGGGTGAGCCACCCCGGGTGCACGTACACTGCCCTCCCTATTATCCGGATAGGTGCCGCAGATGTTGGCAGGCTCACCTCCTGTTGCGAGTTACACAACTAACGATTGCCACCGTTAAACGGTCGAAAGTTCACTACCAAATCTCCGCTTTGGTGGACGACCTGTCGGCATGCTCACCTCCCGAAGCCGAAGCGTCTCTCCAGTTCCCAGAAATCTATGCGGCTGGAGGGACCGAAGGATGTCTAACTCATTCTTTACTAGCTCTCCGGACTAGTAGAGGATGAGTTAGTTTGTAATGGTCATCTCCAGTCGGTTTGAGTGAGCATGAGACTGGTTGGTGGGTTGAGTTCTGATTGACCCGATGCTGCGTGTAAAATTTATAAGCGAGGAGAAGGAAGGGCGCCTTACACACAACGAAAACAAGTTTCAAGTAGAAATAACCAGAAGCTTTATTTTAAATTTACTTTAGTTACATGTTACAGTTTAAATCTAAAGGTACAGTATGGAGAACTAGTATTTTTACTTCCCCGAGTTTACAAAGGGAGAGTACAGATATGTTTACTGCCCTTATTAGTTACATACAAAAGGTTACCTTTAAGTATACTTAGAGCTAATACACTGCACTAAGAGTTTATGAAAGTACATGAGTGACACATGGACACTTCACTTATACGTCACTGACCTGGAGTTTACCGGATGCGGATGGACAATGTCTCCGGACATAACTTGTTGGTGTAAACATGTATTTACCTCGTAACGCTATGTGTATGCTTGTCAAAATATAAAAAGAAACGTAGTAACAAGTGTCTCCGAACATGTTTGATGACAATAGGATGTTATGTATATCGTGTGAGGCATATTAAACAAATTAGACAATGACTCTTAAAATTATATTAGTCTAACGTGTAATATTGAAGCATTCTTTCTTAAAAAAAACATCCTGAGAGTGGCCCCGCGCGTGTAAACCCTAAATGAGGCTCTGGAGTTCTAAATTTAATATGTCAATATGGAGAATATGTGGAGGTGTTGCGTCATCGTCTCGTGTCGTAATTTGTAGTTAAACAATTTTATTGGTAGGTTCGTCAATGTACAGAATAATAATCATACTCAATTTGGCTTCATAAAATTGATTACCAAATTGAGTAATAATTAGACACAAAAAAATATATCGCGGAAATAAGCTGACTAAAATGTTAAATTATTTAATTTCACAATAACAATTGTTCAAATAATCATCTATGCTCAAATAACTATACTAAATTGAAGGAGGTACCTAGTTATGGAAATATGTAAGCTAGGTATTACTTAGACCAAATTATCGCAACTTAATCAGCGACTTTCTGATTGCATATTCCGATGTGTAATAATGTTAAATCTCGAGTGTCAAGCTTGACTTATTCTTGACGGCTGTACACACACGTTACTTCTCTGTTCTCTGTTATGTACAAACCACGGAAGAAAAAAAAATGGAACTAGACTTGAGCGCCGCGCCGGCGCGCCGCCGCCGCCGCGTTTTTCCTCGCGCCGCCGCCGCCGACAAATGCAATCGGCACGCCGATCTTACGCACGCGCAAGCTTCCGTATTGTGTATGTGAAAATGGCGACGGCAGAAAATTACTTTTCTAAGATAAAACTTTTTTTTTTATAAAATGTTCGCATTTGACCTCCATCTCACCAGATGGAAAGTGACGATGAGATCGACGATGAATGAATGCCTATTCACTTTCGCCATGAAAAGGCCCAAGTTATAACGTTCAGGGAACAAGTCTGCAGGCAGGGAATTCCACTCCATAGCCGTTCGCCATATAAATGTGGAACCGTAACGCTTCGTGCGAATCTTTGGAATATCCACAACATAGAGGTGGTGATGGAAAGGGGAAAGCGGAATTAAATCGTGTAATTCCGTCGCACACTCTCCGTGATACATCCTGTAAAATTCCGATAAGCTGGCACTAGCCTCTCGAAGAACCGGATGAAGTCAAGTGACAGAGGTCTGTGAGAACCCTGTACACTGGCTGATCTGGGATCAGAACCTGAACTTGTAAGGTTCCTGTGCGCGCACAGGTTATAGTTTTCTTCTCGTATGCCCTAAGGGTAGGTAGGGAGGATCACTATAATCAAAACTAACGTAGAAAGATATGGTGCTTGTCCCGGTGTGAAGTAACGCCTCACCCTGGAAAGGATCCCAAGCTTCCTTGCTGCGAAGTTCAAATTGGACGACAGGTCGGTTCCAAGTAGCTGGAGACAGTCGGCTATCGGTATGGATATATTACGAAAAGTCGGAGTCAGCTTAAAGGAACTCCGTTTTGTGGAGAATAGACACGTTTGCGTTTGGTAGCGTTAAATCTGACAAGATTGGCACCGCCCCAGTCGGAGACTGCCTTGAGTGTCAAATCCAAACAGCTAACCATAGACTCTCAACAAGACTGGATTTCCTCTCCACTGACCCTTGCATTGGTCACGTACCTATCAACGACTATGTTGTCATCAGCATACGCAAAGGTACCAGGAATTAACATATCGTCAAAGGCCTTAGGAATATCCAAAGACACTGCAAGTGCTTCATCTTGCTTTTCTATAGCCTCGCTCCATATGTGACAGGCATACACAAGAAGATCCCCAGTTGATCGCCTTCTTCGGAATCCGTACTGGCGATCACTGAGGAGGTCGTTGTCTTCAAGGTACGACAAGAGACGGTTGTTGAGTACACGTTCCATAGTCTTGCAGAGTATGGAAGTGACTGAGATAAATCTATAGTTGACAGAGTCAGCTCTGCTTCCCTTTTTCGGCATAGTTCGCACGTTTGCAAGCTTCCACTACCTGGGAACTACACCAGTCTCAAGTGAGAGGCGGTACAGGCGTAGGCGTGTAAGAACAGGAGACAACTCAAGCGCACAGTTACGTAAGACTAGTGCTGGAATTCCATCTGGCCCGCTAGCTTTATTCACGTATAGATTCCGCAAGAGTTCTAAGTACCTCTTTTTAGCGTATGCGAATTGGCGCCATAGTGCAGCCAGCCTGAGGTAAGATTAGACCTAGACGCGAACTCTTTGCAAAGAGTGAGGCAAAAAGATTTGCCTTGCCTTCTGCAATGTAGGCCAGCGTGCCGTCCAGCCTCAGCAGAGATGACATAGATAGGCGACAAAAGTTAGTTAGTGACTTTATATTTAAAGATGTTTTGTGTTTAAAGATGTTTGCAATTTCTGGCGTGACCGTTTTCCTACGCATACACAATGTGGACGCGTACGCGTGCGTACGATCGGAGCGCCTGATCGAACTGATAAAAATTTGATTACTATAGAAAATACGTTATATTATTTTTTCCTTTCAAAAAATATTTGTATAACGGTTTTTGTAAAAACAAACACCGATATACAAATTCGTTTTAGGGTCGCGCTCGCGCCGCCGACAATTTTTTGTCGGCGTGCCGTCACCGGTTGGCCTATTATCGGCGCTCATGTCTCAAAGATAGATTGATTTTTAAGATAGCTAACTCGATCCGGAGATCGGTTATTGGCATGGTTCACCCAAAAAATGGATTGAAATATCAATCTTAGATAGCAAAATTTGGATTAGGATCGATTAATTTCGGGCGTAAATGGAACTGCCATAGGCTTCGATTACTACCAGAACTGATGTCGCCAAAACTCACACATTCTTAATTTGAAACACCACAAAATCTTGATTGATTGATTTGTTTGATATTTGGTTGTTATTACGGAAGTTTTTTGTAATTAAATAACGTTTTTTTAACAACTTGCTTGTTTAAAAAATCTTTTTCGTGAGCAGTCGTGGTCTGATGTCGAAGACGCTTGAGCCACTTAGCAGAAGGACAATAATTAATTACCTCCTGATATTTGATGTTTCTGTGTTCTATTTACTGTTTTTTGTTTTTTTTTTAAAAAAAAAAACAACCTGCAACAAAAATAAATCGTTCGTTGTTTATACAACGATTGTGTTCAAATTTCTCCATGTCCTGAAACACGATAACTACTGACAAAATTGTCCCAAATTATGGGGTAAAGACAAAGAAATAGAATACCGCTATACCATCCTCTAAGCTATATATAGGTATATATAGATAGGTAGATATAAGAAAAAATAACAAGCAAAAAGTAGCAGTAAGAAAAAGACTTAATTTATGTAGGATCATGTTATAATAACATTGGTCGTACAATAATCATTTAAACAGATTAACCAGCAGCTATAAGTCGTATTAACTCATTCGACACGAACGCAATTATAACAATAAAATGATCTCATATATGTTTTTAATGTATGTACATAGTGTATAGCTTTTAGGCAGGTAACCAAACTTTAAAATGACAATAGGCAAAATAGTTTCACATGGAACCATTATAGAGATCAAAACCATTACTGAGGTAAAAGGGTCCATTGGTGACTGACTTGGAGCTTTTAGGATTGTTCCACATTAATTAGATTGACGATGATCGTTAATGGTCACGATTAGCCGAACCGTAGGGAACGAAAAACCAGGAGATTATTTAGATGAGCTCTTTCATGATGATAACGATGAATCATAAATCGAGGAGGGTTAGGCACTAATTTGAGCCTCATTTAAAAGAAGTCTAGGTTGGGGTGATCAAGGACCATTCGTGTTTACGCAACACTACTTACATAACGAGTTCGGCGACTATCTTTTCTCGAGCTCTTCAATATGACATGGGTATGGTGACACTTACATCATCATTTATGTAGTTAATTTACATATTTTTCTTTGTTACCAGGCCAGCGGGTTCAATACAGGTCACAGAGAATTCCTTTATAAAGAAGTTACAATCTTCTGGAAGGAGTTTAGTAGTATTTTATGGATCTCAGACTGGCACTGCGGAAGAATTTGCCGGGCGTCTAGCAAAGGAAGGTATACGATATAAGCTAAAAGGAATGGTTGCTGATCCTGAAGAATGCGAAATGGTGAGTACATTGTGTATTTTCTAAAGAGTTGATGCTTAAAGTAAGTACCTGAATAGTGAAGCAATCATCAGACGTCTTTGGTACAATTCCTCATAAAGTTGGAATGTGCAAAAACCTACAATAAAAATTCAAAACTTTTCTAAATAAGCAAATAAGATGCATGTATCCAAAATGAATGTCTTTAGGTGGTACCTAAAGACATTCAGTACATCAAAATTTTTTGTTGAAAATAGCACTAAGTATGCTTCATTCACAGAGTTCAAATTAGTGCGGTCAAAAAGTGACGTTTTATATAACTTTCGTGAACGGTCTGTATTCTTGGTTGTAAATAAAGTGGTGCCAAAAATTGCCTTCGTTAATCGATAAGTCCTCATATTTTATAATAACAGGTAGTGAAAGTGGGTGAACCATGTGTAATATGACCGTAATTTGTCCATGGAAGTACACGACGCTTAATTTAGGTACAGTACCTACAGGCGACATCATGTTATATGATTATAACATTGGTGGTATAATAATTATTTGCAATAATTATTTCGCATTTGACCACTTTCTCACCGATGATGAAAGCAATGGTGGAGCATGCATAATTACTCTAGCCTTAAAAAGGCCCAAGTTATAGCGCTTAGGGCTTAAGTTTGCAGATTGCTGGCAGGAATTTCCACTTCATACTCGTAGCCATACGCCATATCAATGTGGAAGTGTAAAGTTTCGTCGTGTAATATCTACTACACTAAATAGAATCACAACTTACGTATAGTCTCCCGAAGATAGAAAAGGGATGGCGGATTTAATTCATGCAATCCGAGCTAACCAAAGAGTACCTTATATATGAGTGGAGCTAAAACCTAAGCTAACTTGCAATATAGGAATTTCCTGCAATGATGATGTTCAAAAATTTAAATATAATAAGTAGGAAGGTATATTAAACTTAGGCTCTGCCAGTAGTACTTGAATACTCAATTATTAGATTTCAGGGTATAAGCACTATCACGAATCTGTCTATCGTCCAGCATTACTAAATATTATGCGAATTACATATTGCTAGTTATTAGTGCATTTCTCTAGTTAATTTGACGGTCAGAGTACCGCGTAAATAAACTACTGTTTGCTCTGTATACTTCTGAATACTAACCTAGTTATTGATTACCAGGCAATAGACAATATTGCACAACAGAAAACGGTTTCCACATGCTCGTTCCGGTAGGAATCGTACATTATTATTTTATAGAAAGTTGTCGAAATATTGAGCACTTAAAAACTACCGTAACTCGTAATTCAGAAGCTTCCTTTATTGCCGAACAGTTTTCAAGATTTCAGGAAGGGGGTCAAAAAATGTTAATAAATTTATGATACGGCATGTTTCTGTTTGCCGGGATTCATACCAAGTAGTAGTCGAAAGATGATGTTAAACTATCTGTAGTACAATATCAATTAAGGTTCTTTTGTTGTAGGAAGAATTGACGAAACTAAAAGACATTCCCAACTCACTGGCTGTATTCTGCATGGCAACGTACGGTGAAGGAGACCCTACCGACAACGCAATGGAGTTTTATGAATGGCTCAAAAATGGAGAACCAGATCTAACCGGTTTGAATTACGCTGTACGTATCAACAAGATTACGTAATTACCCAAAGTAACGAAGGGATATACGCATAAATTTACTTAGATAAAGATGTAGTAAGTACGTAGTAATAAATAAATGAATAGTTATGTTAGTCATTGACCTGTATAATGTAATGGATATGGCATTTATATTATACACAGCACAGTAGAATCATGTATATCTACCTACATACATCATATTAGGTAGATTCATAAAATATTATGAAACAAAGTAGGCAGTACCTTGGCTATGTGTGATATGGTGAGGTGACGAGGCAAAGCAAAAGACAAATTTAATGTAATAATGTTGCAATACGAAAAATGGCGCTCCAGGCGGAGAAAAATTGTACTAGCATATGTGACCTTGATCTTACCTATTACCGCTGCCAAGCAGTAATGTGAGCATTTCTGTGTTCCGCTTTGAAAGGGTAAGTGTGCTGGCATATGGGACTTGTCAACTTTAGTCTTAGAGTGACGCGCCCAGTGACAGTGTCCCTAAGATCTTTGCTATTTTAAGCTCTGACTGGCACTGCAACCTTCATGGATAGGCATGTAGCTTACCACTGGGCGCACGACTAGTTCGTCCCGTCACTTGATGTTATAGTATAAAAAAAAGTATATATTTTTTACATCATCATAATTCTTAGCTGTAAATTAAATAATTTATTGTACGTATTTAATTTTGGTGCATTTTAGAATTATAAACGAAATTTTTTGCATTAGACAAAAATCTTTTATGTACAATTTGATTCTAAAAATGGTCACACTGTTGACGAAATGTCAAAGTATTGTCTCAAAAGTGTTGTCTTTGCTTTGTTACATTTATAACCTCACTGATCCCCTCTCCAATGTATTTTTCTTTGCATTAATTATTTTTACATGAATAAGTTCCCCGTTTTTTAATGGCACAAACACACTGCGAACTGCCAAATAAAAAAAAGTAACAAATAATAATGTGTCTAAGTGTCAAACGTAGGCGAAGTGTACTTGTGCTCCTTACGCAAAAGTTTTAATAAAAATTAGCGTATTTACATCAATAAATCATGTAAAACTTAACAATCTTATCAAATACATTGCTACTGACTTCATGTATATAATAAGTGTAAATAGATAATTTATATAGTGTCGTAATAATTTAGTTAAAATGGGTGTTCTTGTTAGATTACTGCCTAGATATTTTACAGAACTAACAACCAAAAGACGTTTAATATTACCGTTATTAAAGTTACGATATTTGGTATGTACCTATTTTCCAAAACTTGTTAAAATTAGTTTTCTTGTCCTCTGTTACAGGTCTATGTTTGAGGAAAATGATGTAAATAAATACTTTTAAAAATAATAGTATAAATCTTGATGGTGATAAATCTTTCATAGATTTCTCATAGATGGCGCTACGACTAAAAAGTCGTTGAAAAACCAAATACAAAGACACAACGCAAGCACATTCAAATTCGTGAGGTCCGCAAGTTCGTTCCGTGGCTTAGTTGGTATAGCGTCTGGCACAGTAAGCTTGAAGACGTCGGTTCGAATCCGGCCGGATCGAAGGAATTTTTTCTGAGTGTTCGGTCTTTGTATTAATAATTGCAATAATAGTATAGTTTCATATAGGACAATAAGCTACAATCTTCGAATCTTTTTAGTTTAAATTTAGGTTATATTTAAGTATAAGTTATAAAAATATTCAACAACTAAGATTAGGCAGCTTGTAATGATGTTTGAAATTATTGTTGAACACATTTTTTAAGGTTTTCGGTCTAGGCAACAAAACATATGAGCACTACAATGCAGTTGCTATTGACATGGATAAACGATTGGAAGATCTCGGAGCTACTAGAGTTTATGAATTGGGTCTGGGTGATGATGATGCAAAGTAAGTATAATCACATTTTTTTAACAAACATGTTTCTAGTCAATTTTATTTCACAAGATATGGCGTAACTTGCTGCTTTAATCAATAAAAATGTATAATAACATATTCTTTATTTGTAATTGTACTTAAATTTAAAATTAATACAATATTGATAGGTGATTAAAATAAAAAAGTATTTATTTATTTCACCAAAATATACTTTATTCACAAATCATAATGAGCATGCATAGAGTGATATCTCCCAACCCTAAGAAAATAAGCAGGGTAATTATTGGAAACAAAATAATATTATTGGTATAATTATAAACAATCAGTGGTTTTTACTGTATTATAGATTTAATGTAAGTAATTCAATTTAATAATTTTTGTAGGAATATTTTGTATGATCACCTTGTAACCTTCAGAAAGTCATTAGTAATATACAATATATAAACATAGTCATAATGTTGCAGCATTGAAGATGACTTTATCACCTGGAAGGATAAGTTCTGGCCAGCTGTATGTGAAATGTTCAACATTGAGAGCACAGGCGAGGAAGAGCTAACAAGGCAGTTCCGTTTAGTTAAGCATGCTCCTGGAGAAATACCGTCTAATAACGTTTTTACTGGTGAAATCGCCAGATTGCACTCCCTGCAGGTTCAGAGACCGTAAGTATTAACAATATATTTTTTGCCACTACCACAATATCCTTGTCCATTTATACCTTTAGGACCTTGCTCCAACAGACCTTGACTCCAAATAAAATATTTGAAACTCAACTGCAAATAAAGAGATAGAGGCAGGAACAAGAAATAAAGGGGAAGTTGTAGAAGACAAAATAAAGTTATATGAAGAAAATTAGTCACCGTGTATTATTATTATTAGGGTGGTTTAATTTGGGGCATAAGTAACCCCTCATCATTGCGACCATCAGCTGATCTATTGTGATCACCGCTAATTACAGTTTGGAGCCAAGGCTGACAGCATTGAAGAACTGATGGACTTTGCTGGCTCTGACAGATTTTATGTCCTATGGTTGTGGCATGTGCCTTCCTAGTATGGAGCTTCGTACATCCGTCAGGGGGTAATATTGGGTGAGAAGAGAACAGGAGTTTCATCTGCCTCGTGGCAGAATCTACGCTCTCTACTCTCTTTCTGCCCAATATTTGACATATACTTGTTCAAGCCACAAAGTTCTGTTAAAACTCTAGTGAGCATTCTGATGCCAATCCTGTTCATGGATGGAGCTTCTCTACAGTGTTTGGAACTGTAGGCTGCCCACTTGTACAGTTCAAGTAAACCTGCTGAAACTTGGTGGGATATTAATACTGTACTGTAAATCTGTCCTGCCACCTGTAGTACTACAAAATAATTTAATTTTACAATTTAAATGCATATATACAATGGAAGTAATCAACAAAATTCATTATGCACAAGAGAATTGTGATAAATTAGTAGGCTGTAATTATACTCACATGCATACAATACACATTGTTTTGTTTTAGTTTTATAAAAAAATATTATATGTATTTATTTGGTCTTATGTAAATTTGGCTGCTGTCCTAAGCTTTTGTAGTTATTTTTCTCATTTTCAGTGGGGGCCCCCATATTAAAAGTGATTTCTAGTAATGCTAATCACCACTTAACATTCTTAGGGACCTTTATAAATGCCACTCTGTATAGCTTCTAAGATGGTATTGTTTCATTTTCCCTGACATTATTTGTTTAATTGCCATTGACAATACTATTTTTTTCCTTAGTTACAGTACTTAAGTATATCTATTTTCTTAATATCTCACGGCAATATTACGTGAATATAAATTCCATGTGTAATAAAATTATTAGATTTATCATCTGTAATAATTATCATTCGGAATACGTACTTTTTTAAGGTTTCGAGGTAATTTGCGATTATTACTGTCACTGCGTCAGTCAATCGTCGTGACCTGTATATATTTACAGTTGTATGACGTGTCGTGTCGGGATGCGTCAGAACTGATAAATTTCAATATGTACATATTATCTGTCCTTCAAAAACATATAATCAAAATAAAGAATAATAGTATGTTTTGCGATTGCGTCCGGTGACCGGTCTGTACCGACTGCAATAGGGCAAATAAATCCGACCGAAAGACGAAGATTGCCGAGAGATATTGTGGAAATAGTTGTTCTGTAGGGCTAGCACGACATACAGTTTTTCACGATTTATCTCGATCTCGCGCAAGTCGCGCCCTGTTGTGCTTGCTCTACTGTTAGCCGTGGTAGCTTAATGGTTTGACCTACCGCCTCTCAAGCAGAGGCCGTGGGTTCGAAACCGGGCTCTTGGTACTTGATACTTGGTGTAACGGGCTGGTGTCCGCAACTCGACGTCAAGGCGCCTATTTTGCGTGTGGTGGGTGCAGGGTCCTACTCGTGCCACCCAAGCTCCTCCAGGAATCTCAGCAGCCTCCTCGGTTTGCTGAAGACTTCGGGGAGCGACCTTGGCACTCCAAGGTACTTTGCCCTGTAGTTGGCCACGCCGGAGCACTGTGATACCTAAATAGAAAAGGTGTTTATTGTATGGACCATGACCTGTTAGGGCGGCAGTTAGAGTGCGAAGCTCTTGCCTGTTGAGTTTAATTAATATTCGTGATAGACTGGCATTGAGCGTTGGGAGTGCTTCCCTCGCCTGTCTACAAACCGTTAGGGTGGTCCATGTATTATTATGTGAAGTTTTTGTACCTTTGTGTATAGTTGTTCTGGACCATTGGTAGGGGAGGGACACTATGGGTTCTGGTCCTAATGCGTCCGTCTCCGACCCTTTTCTGGCTAGTTCATCTGCTGCGTCATTGCCACGTGAGCCGCTGTGTCCTTTAATCCACTGTAGAGTTAAGTGGTTTTGTATACATACCTCCATGAGTGCTTGATGGCATTCATAAATGAGCCCTGAGTTTATGTCATAGCTGTTCAGTGCTTGAAGTACTGACATACTGTCAGAGAGTATTCGAATGGAGTGGTTCTTTACTCTTCTCGCTATGATTGCTTATGCCGCCAACTTGATGCCCATGCATTTCAGCCTGGAATGCTGTGTTGTGGTCACCAAGCGGTGTTGATATCCTGATATTGAGGTCTTCTGAGAATACCCCAGTACCTGTTCCTGAATTTGTTTTAGATCCATCAGTGAAGACGCGGACCTCTCTGGGGTTCAGTCCTTCATTTGGATCTTCAAACAATTGTATCTTGTATTTTTTGTCGAATATGTATTGTTTTGGGATCCTATCCACAGCCGCCTCCAGTAGCGGTTCCTCATTGACTGTCTTATAAAGGATTTCTGTATGTGGGGTCCTCATGTGCTTCCAAAGGCCGGTTCTGTTTAGACGCACTGCTGTTGACGCCGCTTCCTGTCTGATGAACATTGGGAGGGGTCGCAAGTCCAGCATCGCTTCGAGTGCCGCAGTCGGAGTTGTCCTCATGCAGTCGGTCGTTGCCATGCAAGCGAGTCTTTGGAATTTTTCCAGCTTGTCGGTTGCGGTCGTCAGTTTGGTTCGTGGCCACCATACTATCGCGCCGTAACTGATCATGGGTCTTATCACCGCTGTGTAGAGCCATAGTGTTATTTTGGGTGAGAGTCCCCATTGTTTACCTACCATTGTATGGCACTGCCAGAAGGTGATAGTGGCTTTTTTAATTTTGTTGTCCAGATGCTTGTTCCAATACAACTTGTTGTCCAGTATTACTCCCAAGTACTTGACTTCGGTTGATATCTGTACTTCTTTTCTGAAGAGTTTGGGTAGTAGGTAGTTACCCAGTAGTCTTTTGTTTGTAAACATTACTAGTTCCGTCTTTGTTGGGTTTACCGATAGTTCATATGCCCTGCACCATCTTTCCACAATCCGGCGTGCAGCTTGTGTAATGTCGCAGAGTACATTGGCATAATTTCCTGTTACCAGTATAGCTATGTCATCAGCATATCCTACTATATAGAAATGTTCTTTGTTCAGTTTAATGATGAGGTCATTTAGGACCATGTTCCACAGCAGAGGCGACAGTACCCCTCCTTGAGGGCATCCCTTCCCTACTATGGCCCATGGGGTCTTATTTGCTGTTGTTTTTATTGTTCTTAATTTTAGCATGTTGCTAATCCAGCACTTCATCCACTTCGTGCCTCCTCAGTGCTGATTGTATGCTGGAGAAGTTGGTTTTGTCGAAGGCTCCTTCAATGTCCATAAAGGCTCGGATAGCCGGGCTCGTACCTCTGAGTTTCTTGTAATTCCTGTGCGAAATTTAATTTGAAATTTACCGTAAGCTTTTCGGTGAAGAACAGCATTGGGATGAAATTTGTACGTCGAAAAATGTTCAGAACTCTCGGAAAACGTGTGATGTCCCCAACTCGCATTGGGCCACAGTGGCGGACTATGGCCTAAAACTGCTCCTGTGAGGAGACTCGTGCCCAGCAGTGGGAGGTATAAATCGGTTAATGATGTTCTGTAAAGTACTACATTGTCATGTTATACAAGTACTATTGTTTGTGCAGAATATTTTACAGATTCTATTAATGCTGCCTGTACAAATTGGATTGGAATGCATATATTCAATGGAACACTTTGTATAGTGCAAACGTACAGTGTTTTTTTTTTAATGGGACCATATGAGGAAATCCGAAACCATATAAGATACAAGAAAAGTGTCTTATGAAACTATTGTCTTTTTTTGTGAAAACAGTTTTGGCATACCCAAAATTTGGTCAAGCGTGAGTCGTCCATAAAAATGAACAAAATTCGTGAAAAATTTTTTTACTGCGTGTTTTAGTGCTGATTGATTCAGTTTCATAAAGGGATCATTTCATTGCATGCGACGAAAAAATCGAGATAGCAGAAGTTGGTCAAATTTCATAAAATATTTTATGATACAAAATGAATAAAATTTACTAATTTCTTTTCATGCTAATAGATAATAGGGTCGTATTCCAGAACTCTACTCAATACTCAACTCAGGACTTGAATATTGCAGTGAGCACTGAAAATCATACTCAAGGCCTTGCCATTAGGGTCGTATTTCCAGTGCTTGAAATCATACTCAAGTCTGCTCAAATCCTGACTTGAGCATTGAATAGAGTTCTGGAATACGAGCATTAGTCTATTATAAGGATGACGTCATTGTATGGGAAAAAAAATTGCGACAGCAGAAGTTGGTCAATTTTATACAATTTTTTTTAATGTATCTATATTAGTGTGGCAGGTGTGTATGGCTTGTTATCCGTTTTTTCTTCATAATTTGCTTATCCCATTTTTTCGATTGATTTGTCAATATTACTTAAAATTATGCTATTGAATATACAAAAGTTATTGCTAATATAGATAAGTAGTTGTTCATTGTGTGTCAGTTATTTTGCTACTACAGCAATAAAATTGCATGCAGTTCCGTTGTGGTTTAATTGACGTTATTAAGCATAATAGTGTTGTTTCTTTTAGTTCTTTACCCTCTTCTATCGTCGTTCTTAGCGTAAAACGTTTTGTCCATTTGGTTTATTCTATTAACTCATATCATAAGTTAAGGTGGGTAGGATCACAGAATGAGAATAAGTTTTCTTTGGTAGAAATGAACGCATAAAATATATTTTATGGCTTCGTGGTTAGCATTGTGGGCGCTGGATGAGGGGCCCTGGGTTCGATAACTCGATTTCCAGAGAGACCATCTTGAGGAATTAAAAATTGGTTGCTGTTCAAAATTGGTTCTGGTTTGAGTGCTGTGGGTACTGCCTTGGTGTTTCTTTACTCTGGTACTCTAAAGTACAGTTGATTCCCTGAGCTCAATATGTCCAGCATATTTTATATTATATATAATATTTTATTGCATTTTTTTTTGTACATTAAAAATTACAATGAAAACAGAACTGTAATGTATGTATTTTTTTTAATGTATATTTTTCGTGCTCCTGATGGTACACTACACGCCTATCCATAATAGTTGCAGTGCCACTTAGAGCTTAAAATCGCAAAGATCTGCGGGGCACTGCCACTGCGCCCGTTACCCCGAGACAAGTTGACAAGTCCCATGTGCCTGTAATTTCACCAGCACCCTTAACCTTCAAAACAGGAACACAGTAATTCTGACATTACTGCTTGGCGGCAGAAATAGTTAAGGAAGATATAGGAAATGTATGTTTTAACCATAGAAATATGCTCCATGGTTTTAACATATTTATTCTTACATTATCTTAGGCTTATGCTAACAAGACAACGTAATAATATTAATGTACAACGGGCTGCCTTATTTCTAAACTCATATTATTATGTTAATTTTCTTATAGATTAATTCTCAGTACCTGTTACAGGATTTCCAATATTTTTCAAGTAAATTAGACCATTAGAATTTCCTGGAAATCTGATGTAACTTCGATAATCATTATGTTAATTATCGCTATCTATTATCTCTACACGCTAATGATGTTGATATCTTTTTCCTAAATAGTTATCTCTAGGAGGATACGACGTTCGTATTTTAACTAGTTTCTTCGATTTTTTATTTTGAGTCATGATACCGGTGTTTTGCGTGAATTTATTATTTGGTATAAATCCATCACACTGGATAGATATGAATAAAATATAAGTACATTCATGAAATGCACCGCATGGATTCCGCAGCAGCAGTTTAAAAAAAAATTTCATAACCTTGGATTCAGGTCCTTCAGTTGTTTTTTAAATTTATTTTATGATCATGGTTACAAGTCCTTCAGTCGAAGTATTAGAGATAATAAACTTACAAAGTACTTAAATAAGTAACTTGTTTATATTACAAGTAATAAAGCAGTAATAATTATTACTTAATTTACTTGGATACTATTTGTACATTCATTTATATTACTACCTTTAATTTTAGAAGTCTTGTTTACAAGAATTTTGTGTTGCGGCTTTAAATTACTCTAGGACAATATTAATATAGATATACATAAGACTATATAGCGCTGTATAGTGCTATATTATGGCTTTTACGCTGTTCAAGACGTTACATGTCTGAATTTTGATGATCTGAGCGCGTGTGTGTTAGGTAGTTACTTTTTCCGTATCTATTTACTTTTCTGGTACTGATTATCCATAGTCAGCATTCTCATTTTGCATCTTTCAATAATATGAGACTTTTCTTTCAGACCTCATGACGCAAAGAATCCCTTCCTAGCCCAAATCCAAGTTAATCGTGAGCTCCATAAAGGCGGAGATAGGTCGTGTTTGCATCTCGAACTCAATATTGCGGACTCCAAAATGCGATACGAGGCTGGTAAGAAGGTTTTCAATTTAATTCTTTATACATATTTCTAGTTTATGTCACTTTAGATAATTCAACACCAAGGTCAAATAGGTACGTATTCTAACTTCAGGGATTTTTAGGGGTAGCGTAAATTAATTTTACCATAGGCTAAACTTGTGATAAAATTGTATTATTTATGTAAAAAAATTTGGTATTAGGAAAAAATATGCCGCTGGAAAGGTCTAACGTGCATTTAGAAAATATTGCGGGAGAGCGATTTAGAGTAATTTTTTTAAGAAACAAAAATTATAACTTAATTTTATTTAACTTTTATTATTTTTTATTTATCTTAATTTTATTTAACTCTTATTAACATAGATGGTAAGGATTTTGTTACTAACACTTTATGGATATCTTGTCTGAAATAAAGATTTTGATTTGATTTGATTTGAATTGAATTTTTATTGAATGTCAGAATGTTTAACCACCATGATATTCAATTATTTTTTCTGAAATTACTCCACTAGTTTGTTATAATTACTAATACAAAGATTATGTACACTTAGAAAAAAATTCTTCAATCTGGCCAGATTTGAACCGAACGTCTCCCAGCAAACTGTGTTAGACATTATGCTAACTAATCTAATTTTATCTAATTTTATTTGTTACATGGAATAGGTGAAACTATCCAGTTTTGCCTATAACAAATAAAATTAGAGTCGTCATTTCTTTTTCTTTAAAAAAATTCCTTAAATCATTTTCTCTGTAATATTTTCCAAATTTTAATGCACGTTAGATGTTTTTAACTTTCCAGGGTCGATATAATAATCATAATATGTAGCCTTATGCTTTCTATATACCTAACAATAAATGTAATTTAAGAAACTTATCTTAGAAATATTCTTTTCGTATCTCGTTGGAATGAATTAATACTGCCTTAATGGCCGATAGGTTACCATGCCGGCCTGACACGCAGAGGTCCCAGGTTCGATTCCCGGGCCGGGAAAAATATTTGTATGGTCTACATTTATTTCTCTCGTGAGTTTGGGTGTAATTTGTGGTTGTCTATGTGTGTGTTTATGGCACCCGCGACACAGGGTTTCCCTAGTGCGGGACCATGTTGAGTGTGTGTGCGTTACATTGGAGAAGGTTTACCCTATCACGATCTTCTGTACTACTGTACTGTGTCGTTTTCCCTAAAAACTGTAATGACCCCATAAGTGACTCATACATCTTTCCTTATTTTTTCCATATAATTAATGAATTCTTTAATATGGACAATTCAATTTTTAAATTCTAATTTAATTTACAGACATAAAAATGGACTTGACAAATGTTGTTCACAATGTTGGATTTAGTCTCCATTTTAGCTTCTGGAATTATTTAATTAAGTTAGCTATACCATTTCAGGTGACCACGTGGCGGTATATCCAATCAACGACACTGAATTGGTTGAGCGTCTAGGCGAATTAACGGAATCTGATCTTGACGAAATCTTCTCCCTTATTAACACTGATCAGGAGAGCAGCAAAAAGCATCCATTCCCCTGCCCTACGTCGTACCGTACTGCCATGTCGCATTATGTGGAAATAACAGCACTGCCACGTACTCACATTTTGAGAGAACTTGCGGAATACTGCTCAGATGAAGAGGTAAGATTTGAACTTGATTTGCCTTCTGAACGACACTTTACGCGTAGCGTTGCCGGGCGTCCGGATAAAGCTTTTTGGATGCGTGAACGTGCAAAATTAGACGGTGACCGAAACACCAGACATTTTTGTATTTAGCCAAGTTTTGTTCCGTTTCGATGGATAGCCGTTGCAATGATTAATAATAAAGAAGACTGATTTATTCAGTTTTATGGTTAATTAATTAATGAAAATTTATAAAAATTGGCGTATTTTTGATGAATGAAGGTTCACAACCCTCTAAAAACGTGTGAAGTCCTCACCCTGCATTGGGGTGGCAGATTACGTCCTACCCTCGCTTGAGAGTAGACCCGTGCCCAGCAGTAGGACGTATAAATCATGATCAGAAAAGCTTGGTATTACTTTAAAAATATTGTCGTATCAAAATTACGACGCAAATCCTTAAAAATATATGTCCAGCCTTATTACCAAAATGTCCGACTATAGTTGGTCTGGCCGGCTATTTGGTTTTAAGACCTGGCAACCCTAATCACATCTATGTTGGGAGGGGTCCCAAATACGCGAGTACTACCAGCGCCATCCATTTTTGCGTCCTTTATAGCCCATTAAAAAGAAACTTTGTACAGATTTCTGGACATGTAGACCACAACAATTCTAGAATATTAAAGATATCGAGTTTTTGGCTTTACGCGATCATTACACATCGGAAATGGAACTATTTTTTCGAATGTAAATCGCCGACATAGTCAGTCGTGACCATGGCACCTGTAAAAGGTCCGAAACTTTAGTTTGTTTGATAAAATAAATATACGCGATTCGAAAATAGTTTCAATATTAAATTTCTTTCAATATTAAAGATATTATTAAAGATATCCAAAAATTAATTTTAACAAGTATTTCCTTAATATTTCGGTTGGCGTCACGGTTTCGGAACCGAATGCAATGTAAATTATGCAACTATATAAAAACAACGTACAGCTTCTACATTTAAGTTGATTTGATCGCTCTTTATAGTAAAATAACATCAACAACCGTAAAATAGTGTGACTACTTACACGTTATCAGCGTGTGTGATACTGATAATAATGTATTCAACAATCACATCTATTGCTATGGTCTCAAATTAGGGATTTCACTGTACCAGGTACCAGAGGAACGATATTAGCTCGACAGCGGCCGATGGCTCGCCCGACGTCGATAAACTAAAATTAGTTTGCTATCGCTGGATATATTGTCGCCCAACCTTTGTACTGGAATATTTGCATTACTATTACTAATTTCAATTTTTTTGTTGTTACTGAATTATTAATTACCCTTTTTATATCAACGGATATGAAAAGGGTAATTAACTATTTTTCTTTATTTAAAAGTATTTAATAATAAAATATTTCATGTTGGGTAATAATAATTAATTTACCTCTGTGACTGTACGGTTACCATGAGGTCCTAGGTTCGATTCCCGGGCCGGGAGAAATATTTGTATGGTCTACATTTATTTCTCTCGTGAGTTTGGGTGTAATTTGTGGTTGTGTTTGTGTGTGTCAATGGCAGCCGCAACACAGGGTTTCCCTAGTGCGGGGCTATGTTTAGTGTGTATGTTATTATTATTATTATATAAATGTTGGCTATATAATACATCACTCGTTGAAACCATTACTATCATTAAACGAAAACCTAACAACGTATTTTCATAAAATTTTAATACAAAAAATGCTTAAGGATTTGTGTATCAGTAACTGTAATCATGTGTTCTGTTCTTCATGCTGAGCATGTGCTGAGTAAATCTTTCTATGGTTATCTAATCCAGCAAAACAAAATTCGTAAATATATAAATAAATATAAATAATGTGTGTTGTATGTTCTAAATGTTCGGTGTAAATGTATTTAGGTACACAGATTTTAAAAGATTGTTTACCAATAACTGTAACCGCGTGTTCTGTGCATTGTAATGAACAAATATGTCTATAAAAACCAATCCTATATACAAATAGGGAATCAACTCATTTATTCAAAGAGACAGTCGTTCTACCATGATTTGTTAAATTGTTCATATAGGTATTTACTTATTTCTTGTTGGCTAATATACTGGGTGTATGTAAAGTTGACGCCTAAACTCCAGAAGCCTCTGTACTTTAAAGAACTAAACAACTTCGTACAACTAAAGTAAAAGTTAATTAGCAATCATCGTCATCATGTTCTACTGCCCGATTTTGCTCACTGTAAGCAATAAGTAGTTTTAACATCATTCATTGCGCTTCATATTGACGCTGACTTGCGTATTTTATATGGTTTTCTGTCCAACATTACTGACTTTTTTGTGTTAAGTTTTAAGTTAGATTTTAATATATTATGATGGGTGTTACAGAGTTTACTAATTTCTTTTCAGAGGCGTAATTAATTGATCAATAATCAACTTAAAAATAAATTAATAAAATCAAAAGGAACACTAAATTTAAAACTTATTTTGTTACATGTCAATTTCTGTACAACCTGTGTTTTCGCAAATAAATGAGTTATTAATTATGTAGGTATATTAATATAATAATAATAAGTGCAATGAAGGACAATGCCCTCGTGATAACGATCACGTGCTGTAGAGGACAGTAAAGCATAATCGATAAAGAATTCCAATTAAAGTCACTGTGGACCGGCAGAACGCCCGGATCGGAGTAATGTGAACGAACTTGCTCAGACTTGCTCCGGAATCCCTGAACTCCGCTCGCCCCACCTGTACTCCCCGCGTGCCTTTTCGGTGTTCATCCAAAGAGGATGCCGTCATTCGAAAATAATTGAAGATCTTTGACTCGTCATTTCTCAGTTGGCCCATTTTTACTTTATTAAGCCTTTTAAGATATCACCACAATACCACAATTTCGTCGTCTATCGTGCGCAGTGGTATAAACTCGACTGAGGTGAGGAGTTTAGTGTCCGGTTTTCTTGTGAGATGCGGCTTAATGTGAACACCTAGTCCCGAGTGCAAGTTTCCCGGCAAAGTCGTCGGTCCGGCGGTATTATAGTGGGAACGAGGCCTAAAGGTGGCAAACAGACTTTTGTGGTCGATTTTATAAAAAGTTATTAAAATAAAAATATATTTTTAAAATAACTAATTACTTTTAAATAACAATAAATGTATGAAAACCATCGAATAAATGTATGCTGATTTATCGTAGGTAACGAAATGGATTCTTTTGCTGTATACAATTGAACAGAAAAGTACTTATTTTAATATTTTTTTACTGGGTGTAAATCATTTTTGTAACCGTAGTGAACTTATGATTCTATTAATTAAAATAATAATAATAATAACGCACACACTCAACATAGCCCCGCACTAAGGAAACCCTGTGTCGCGGGTGCCATGGATACACACATAGACAACCACAAATTATACCCAAACTCACGAGAGAAATAAATGTAGGCCTTACAAATATTTCTCCCGGCCCCGGAATCGAACCTGGGACCTCTGCGTGGCAGTCCGGCATGGTAACAGGTCGGCTACGGAGGCAGTTCAACAAACAAACAAATATTTTTATATTACCTTTAAATAACAATGAATGTAAAAACTATCGAATAAATGCACGCCGATTGAATGCCTATGTAAAGAAATTTATTCGTGTATAGAACACAAGTCAAGAGAAAAGTATTTGTTTTTTAAATTTTTATTTACTTGTCTAGCAAATACACGACTGTAGTAAAGTAATTACTAGTTACATATCAAAAATATAGAACAATTTTGTTCTATATTTTGTATTTACAATACAATAATTTCGGGATATCAGAGGAAGGTATTATCCACTCTATGTAATACACATTCCTTGAAGTTTAGTTTAGAAATATAGTCTGACTATTCCGATATCTAATTATTAGACATAATACATTACGTAATAAAAACATTACAACTGCGACCATAAACAAATATAAATTATAAATATGGTCTACAGTGGGAGCCCCACAGACGATTACTATAATACATAATATGCTCTTAGATAAATGCTCTTCTACGTATATAAGATCATTGCAGATCTCATATAATAAGTCAGTGGTAGCTAGCTAACTGGGTCACTTGTGGTCTAGACCGTTGATTCCCAAAGTGGTTTTGTTGAAATTGACCTCCAGGGGTACATTTCAATCGACAAGAGGTCTATATAAGTGAAAACAAACGGATGTACATGAGACGTTAATGGAGGAAAAAATGGTTTTGATTTTCCGTAAGTGGAATAATCCACATTGCATAGATAGTAACTAAAATCCAACTTTATGCCGCTTACGATAAGAACGGTCCAAATTACAAAGTGACAAGCTTGATGTGCTCTTGACTGTACTTATGTACGGACAACAGCACTTCAGACTACACATTTTTGTTCGAAAATCGCCTCCAGTGCAACGGAACAAGATAAGTCAATGTGTAGCTTGATGTGCTGTTGACTGTACGTACATAATACTTTCCTATGAAGTATACTCATTACAATAAACAAGGTATTTGGTTTAATAAATGTATAAAATTTAACATTTTTTTTTAATACATTAACTATGAAGTTAAACTTATCAAGGTGAGTAGCACTGTGTCAGCTGTCAAAGACACATTTGAAGTTGATGACTTTGTAAAAAAAATCGAATTAGAAAGCCAGTCTAGTATAGTAGAAGCAAAACATAAACAATGGTACGGTGGTCTACGAGACAAAAACGTTTCGAAACCTCTGCTCTAGACTGTCGAATGCGTTGTCATTTGTACATTACACAAGTGCTGTAAAAACAAACGTGTTTGTACTTTAATAAACGAACTATGTTGAAATAAATCATTGTTTCAATAAATATGTATTGGTTATCGTATTTATGTATATATTTACATGACTCTGCCCTAAGATCATAACAGACCTTGTAATCATTTTAATGATTCCATTGGAAAATCGCATACACAAAAGAACGTATTTTTGCCATTGAAATTATTTATTAACCGACTTTAAAAAAAGGACGAAGTTTTCAATTCGTCTGTATTTTTTGTGTGTATGTTAAGCTATTTATGACTCCGACATTTGGGAATCGATTTCGATGATTCTCTTTTTGTTGGAAAGGGGTGGTACTTAGTAGTGATCATTCAAATTTGAAAAAATATTCCACCTCAGAGGATGGCAAAGTAGGGGATGAACTCGGTTTATTGAATTTGACCGATAACCGATTTAAATTTTCATTTTATTTAAAAACTTGGGACATACATAGATGTAATTCCAATGAAAATAAATCACAGAGAAAACGTATAACTGCCTCTGTGACCGAACGGTTACATGCTGGACTGCCACGCAGATGTTTCGGGTTCGATTCCCGGGCTCGGAGAAATAATTTGTATGGCATACATTTATTTCTCTCGTGAGTTTGGGTGTAAGTTGTGGTTTTGTATGTGTGAGTGCATGGCGCCTTCGTTACAGGGTTTCCATAGTTATTGAGTGCAGCTCCACACCAGGATATATACATTCCCGGACAACTAATTCGAGCCATCACGCATTTTCAGTATTAAGCGTTTTAAGCTTAAACAATATTTGATTGATCAAAAACTATTATGCAATTTTGAAACTAGTACACTAAACATCTTTTCCATAAGTCCTTGTTGGGAATTTGGATTTGCAAAACCGGGGAAAACTTTTTCTTCAATGATAACACTATTTTTGTATTCTAGCCCTTTAAGGCAAAAACGCGCAGTGGCTCGAATTATGTGTCCGGGAGTATATTATATTATTATTATAAGTAAATTTTTGAGCTCGGTTTTTGTCATAAAAAAGTTAATTATTGTTATTAAAGTGTAACTCTAGATAAATCAATTTTAAAATAAACATTTTGATTTCAGGATAAAAAGAAGTTGCTCCTCATGGCCACAAACTCGGCAGAAGGCAAAGCCCTATATCATTCCTTCGTCGTGGACGCTTGCAGGAACATCGTACACATTCTGGAAGATATTAAGTCATGTAAACCGCCGCTGGACCACCTTTGTGAACTCTTACCACGTCTACAGCCTAGATACTACTCCATTTCATCAAGTCCCAAGGTATGTAATTTATATATTTCTTAATTTATAATTAAGTTTTCACAGGGAGGTATTAACAACTATGTGTGTATTATTAGAAATTGAAGTAATTTTGCGTATTCCAATATCTGCAGGGATATTAATAAACAAACTCGTGGCGTGACGTCGCGTTATATAGAATTTATATATATATTCTGCTCAAAGCCTTGCCTTGAACCACATAGCATTTCTTTAAATTACGTATATATTGAACTATACAGATACGTATGAAGTGTTGACACGACCTAAGTTTCTAACGGATATAACGCACTACGTTGTTTTTGTCTATTGATTTACTACAAATCCACTATAATGTTTCACTTCCGCGTTTTCGTTCGCGTATTATGATGCGACGCTATATACGTAAGTTATTATACTTATACAATACATGTATGTGTATATTATTTTATTACTACTATATTGCTTATGTATGCCATCGTATTTATTATATATATAGAATCGTTGTTTACAAAAACGCGTACACGGCTTACGCACGTTTACTCGTAGTGAATCTCCACTTTGTAGCCTGACCCGTATGAAATATCTTCATATTGTTATTTATCTATGCGGAAACGATTAACCCGTAAGCGTCTTCATACAATGATGACCACTGCATTATTCTGATTTAAAAAGATCCATACATGTGTTTATTTATACAAAAAATTTTGGTCAATAATTATCTTTTTTTAAATTTTTTACCAAAGCGAAGGCCATAATATTAGCAGTCTGTTAACAGCATGTACCTATATATATCTATTGATGAATCATTGTTTCTTGTAGCTTTTAAATGAATCTTTTCGTTTTTTATACTGTATCTCTACGTGAAGTTTTGAGCTTGTTCTAAATCTTGGTGGAATAACCTTATAGGTAATCTATACTGTGCAGTGAGCCGTATACGGGTTGATCATGGTAATTGTTTTTACTTGATATGTATTTAATGAAATAATACAATTAAAGATCAAATTCGCGTAAAAAACTTCTCAAGACGTCATTTCACTGCTGATGCAATAAGGAAGTAATTTTGAACTGAATTTTATGATTCACTGGGTAAAAGTTTAAACTTTGTTTAACGCCTTTCTTCACATTGATCTACTCTGAATCAAATGACTATTTGGTAAGATACCTGACTCCCTAGCCACTACTACTAACTAACGACTGGTTAGGGTGTCATATATCTTAGGGCATCGACTGTACAAACTAGATACGATTCGGTTGCTTTGGAAATTCCCGAGATAGCTAGAGGAAAAAGAAATACAAAATATATTTTTTATGGCTATCATTGTTATAATGAGAAGGTTGACAGTGACTTCTGGTGATAATGATTATTTGATATCAACATTCGTATTATCAGAGAACAATTTGTTCAGTCCTAATTCCACAACGTGATCATTCCCAAGACCCTTAATCTTTGCTCAGTTCTTATACGCGCTATAATTTGAAAGATATCTCAGTACTGAGAAAACTGTACTTAACATTCCTTTTAGTACTGTGCTCCAAATATATGGATTCAAATCTAGATCGCAGTCACTTGAAACAAGAAGTACTTGTAAAATAATTTATCTGTCTAGTGAACCACAAGTATCAAAGATAAGATGTCTTTATTTTTTATTATTATTCTTAATATGATACAATAGAGATGATAAGACATTGAAAGTATTATGATTTACGTACGCAGATATTTTATTTTTACATTGGGATTGAATGCTATGTACTGTCATGTCTGTTATAATTGTGTTCTTGATTAGGTTTTTAAGTTTCTTAAATATGTATTATACAAAATTGTAAGTGTTCTTAGCAAATACAGCGCACAAGAGAAATTCGTAGGTATTGAAGCAAAATTTATTTTTCTATTAATTCTTCATTACTTGATAAGAATGATCAAAAAACTCGAGTGCCTACCAAATTAAAAAACTTGAAGTTGATTGTCACAACATAGAAACATTATGAATATTTATTCATATGTATAACTGTCTCCGTGGCCGAACGGTTACCATGTCGGACTGCCACGCAGATGTTTCGGGTTCGATTCCCGGGCTGGGATAAATATTTGTATGGCCTACATTTATTTCTCTTGTGAGTTTGGGTGTCATCTGTGGTTGTCTATGTGTGTATCCATGGCACCCGCGACACAGGGTTTCCCTAGTGCGGGGCTATGTTGAGTGTGTACGTGTGCGTTATATATTCTTGTTGTATAATGTAGTACTTATGAAAAATAAATAGTAAATACATAAGTAATAGTGGTAGCGGTGTCATAACTATCGATGGTTATTAAATATAGCACAATATCGACAGGGCTTCAATAATATCGATAATTTTACTTCTCACACTAATCACACCGTTCATGTACAGAATTATAATGAAATTTTTCATTTCAGTAGCGAGTAACATAGACTATAGAATTTTCGGTTCAGAACTAAAAAGAGCGCCTTTGTGATATGGTATGGTAATGGTCTGACTAGCCTCCATGGCCGAACGGTTACCTTGCCGGACTGCCACGCAGAGATCCCAGATTCGATTCCCGAGCCGCCGACCGGGTGAAATATTTGTATGGCCTACATTTATTTCTCTCGTGAGTTTGGATGTAATTTGTGGTTGCCTATGAGTGTGTGCGTTTGATTAAAGTACAGGAGCAGAAACAATCATTAATATTTTTTAGTATATTACGTTTTAAGTTTCTTAAGTATTTGTTACCTGTTTAACCTGATTGCTCTATAGGCAATGCTCAATAATGAGTAAGCTAAAAGTAGTTCGAAGGCCTTGTTGCTAAAACGGCGGTATTGCAACTTGAGCGGGAGGAAATGGCGTATCTTTTGGTCCCACTTTTTATATGATTTAGATTTTAAATTACAGTATATTTTGAATTTGACTACTCGGTCAATGACTAATGATTGAGCAGAGCTTGTTGTGTTGTGCCAGTGTTTACAAGGTCAAGAGAACGTCAAGCTAGACAATTAAATCTTAAGGGAGTCGCCACACTTATCGATGCTGAGTCGCATTAAGCGGTCCGAAAAAGCTTTATGTGCTTGTAAAATGATTCAAAACGACTTGTGGGTTTCGCGCATAAGTGGAAGCGCTCTTTATTGTTTGACCGTAAACCTTTTCAGCAGCTTGATTTTGATTGCCTCTCCTGATCGGAAACTGCGTCTTTTCTGAGTCGAGGCGCATAATTGCGATGCACAACTGGCCGATCGGTAGCTTTTGATAATTCTAATCGGTACAATAGTTGATTTAACTCACAAATTGGAAAGATATAGTAGGAATCAGGTTCATCTTCTCGCTCAAAAACCCATCTGATTTCGACACTACCCGATCGGATCGATTCCGATCTGAATCAAAATCAGGACGATGATCGGCTCAAGCCGAATAAACGTAAGTTTGACGTAGTCTTGTTCCTGTAGCATCAGAGGTTGTGTGACCGCAATAAAAAAAAGAGCTATGGCATCTATTGCATGTATCTTCGGTTACGGTAGAGAAGGTAAAGGTTTCTCGACACGGGAGTTTTGTATATTTCCCCACATGCTAAGAGCGTTTGCGCGCTACGTCCCATTCTTGTCAGTTCTGAATTCGAAAAATGAAATCCGAAATCTCTCAGGGATTAATTTGCGATATTCGTATTTTCCCGGATTCGAATGGGACTTTGCGAGGCTATAACCTCGGATTCGTAACGAATACTAAGCCTAGAAAGGAAGACAAACACTGTTTCCTTAAAAGCAATTATTGCATCTAATACTTATGTACTTAAAAACTATACAAACAGGTAAACCCAGAGCGGTTGTAGAATCCTTGAAGCGTTTGTACTTTGGACCGTTCTAATATTAAGCAGCATAAAGTTGTATTTTAAGTGTCAAGCTTGATGTGCTCTTGACATTTCACTCTAATTTCTATGCTACGTAGGTACATTTGTAAATGTTTAGTTGCAATACCTCTCGCTGACGGTGAAGGAAAACATTGTAATGAATCCTGCACGTCCAAGAAAATTCACTGCCCTTGGAAAACGTGTAAAGTCCTCAACTCGTATTGGACCACTGGCTTGACGGACTACGGCCTAATCCCTCGCCTGAGAGGAGACTCGTGCCAAGCAATGGGACATGTAAACGGGTTGATGACGATATACGCATGATTGATCTATTGTGCCTTGTGTCACGCACCTTTTGCCAAAACGTATTGCTTGTTTCTTAAAGGTCGGATATAGGATAGTAAAGAAAAGTTTATACAAGACAAAAATAAAATCCAGAGCAGAACCAGTAGACGCTGTTTAAAAATAAATGTTACAAAAAGTATAAATTTCCATTTAATAGGTCCTCTGCATAATACCTTATCATGGCGTTCGGAAGCATTAGATCAATCGCGTTAATTGGCGAGGTAACAGTCTCTCGAGTGTTACCCGCTTCACACGCTTCATTAATGCAGAGGAATGTCTATCTGCTATCGGATGTCCGATATAAAATAATTTCGATGAGAAATTATACAAAAAATACAAAACGTTATTTTTGTCTAAGATTTACAGTACCATACTCATGTCGGGCATTTACTCCCTGTTCAGAGGAGGATTCATAAAATGATTCGGACCTCCGGTATAACCCATAAAACTTCCACATTCATATGGCGTACGACTATATATGCCTACAAACTTGTTGCCTCAACGGTATAACTTGGGCTTTTGCAAGGCGAGAGTGAATAAGCATTATCTAAATGTTCATGCTCCATTGTCGATTTTATCGTCACTTTCCATCAGGTGAGATGGAAGTCAAATGAGCACTTATTAAAAATAACTACAATGCAAACAGCGTTAAACGCCCAATGTACATAATTATATACTAAATATAATAACGTGCTTCAGGCTCTCAGACAAGTATGCCCTTAGTTTTGTTGAAATACGTATTCTTGTATATACTCAATTGTATATGTAATATAAGAGCGATAAAGAATGCGATATTTTCATTATTATATAATTCATTGCGTGATCATACTAATAATATGTCTGGATCTGAAACCTTTCCCATATTATGTACATTTAATGTAGACGCGCTTTAGTAATAGTGTGGTAGACCACAGTCTTATAAAATTTAACTTGCCGTACTATCGATGAGGTAGATGTAAAGTAGTCAGCGACCGGCTTGTTTAGGAGGGAACTTTTTAACAACTTTTATTCCATGATTTTTAATAATTCATCAGATTTTACTTTCGTACAAAAATAAACAGTGATTACTCTGTGCGGTACGACAAACGACGCAGAAGCGGGGGTGGGGGTCGTCGGGAACGATGCGTGCACATTTGAACTTCTAACCTTACTACCGAATATAAATCTAAATAGTGTCATATAGTACAAAGAACTTAAAAGTTTATTTTTGGTAAATTTATTATGTTCTGTAAAAAGTCATGGAACAAAAGTTATTGTTTATGACATTAGGTAATGTGGTCGGCGAGTTGGTTAGTATTTTATAAATAACCCTGTATTTTAAAATTATTTCGGAGCAAGTATCCACACATTTTTGAAAACGTGAATTCTCCACTTTTTATTGACCCAGCGTGGTAACTTTTGGACTATCCTCTATATATCTTAGAAAAAACGCAATACAACAGTGCAATTTAAGAATTGTAAACGCACCATTTATTTCTGTGTAGTTTAATAACAGCGACGATGATTACTAGGAAGGCGGTCACAGTATGTTGTTAAATAAGTACATGTGTGTGGGAAGTTGAAGAATAAATTCTCTTTGTTCTGTGCTTAGTCAGTCTTACGATAGTATGCCTCGACCCCTATGTATTATACACGAGTTGAACTTGACCAGTGATGTACAATGATAAAGCGTGACATTCATAATACATACTTTTGGATGAACACCAAAATTATATATTTTGTTGCGTTTGTCATTGTATCTCGCATACGCAGCGGTGTGCAATAACGTGTGGCTCAGTTGATTGTTACCAAAATTATAACTTCTGAAGATTTTGTAGTCGTTCAATTAATTAAAGTACAATGACTGACGGTAAAAAAGCAGTTTACCCAATAAAAAAGATTTCTAACAAATGCATAGGGAAATACGTTTAATATATTTCATAATAATTGTGTATCTATTATAGATACAACTATTTGCAACAAACTATGTGAAGAATTTTCACTAAATATTTTCTTTTGGCGAATAGGGAGAAATCTTCCAAAGATCCCACTAAAACCGCCCCGTAGGTCTTCGTCTGTGCATGTTACAGTCACCGGTGCCTCTTACGCACTTTACCTGCTTAGGCTCCTCTCGGACTCCCCCCGCCGTCCCTGCCGACATCGACACCTCATATTGCAACCACCACCTCTGCCGTCTGGCGTCTGGCGTCGAGGCGCTGTTTATATGGACTACCAAAGCCCCCATCAGGGCGTCCGCGACCCCGAGGGCACCTTTTAGTCGGCTTGTAGGACAGGCAGGTGATGCCGTAGCCTTATTCTTAAGCCCAGTGCTACAGGGTTAATGTACATGTTAACTGTGTTAACCCTTCACAAGGACGCCGCGTACCAACAGTGATTGCGTATGACCAGTGAATCCTTAGCGAATTTCCCTAAAGTGCAGTGTTTGAAATTAAGGTTCGTCAATGTAACGTTTTAGAGAGCACAGAGCTCAATCGCCGTAGCGAACCGGTCATACCTTAATTAGTTTTAAAGCAAACCTATGTAACTTGGCATATTTTAATTGATTAAATCTTGTGAAAGGACACATACTGCCTTTTTTAAAACTTCCTTCCGGCGCGCGGCTAGTTCCGTAATTTAAAAATGCAATAAATAAATGTTAAAAGACATGTTCAAAATAGTATAGATCAGCTACAGCACCGCGTTCATGCTATCGAATTTTTTTTCCATTTGGTTTTTTCACCACTGGCAACCTACTGGGATATTTTAAATTCCATTTGCCGCCATTGGCAACAACAGATCTTTTTATCCCGTTTGTCACTTATCCCTTTTTTTTTAAATATATAATAGAGACACGCTTGGCCACAATCTCACCTGATGTTAACCGACGATGGGACGCGTTTGCCTAAAAAAATTCGCTATAGCCTCTCGTTTACGACGGATCTTTTCGCTGTTGTCTCGGGCGTCTGGCATATAAGTCTCTACCACTGTGCTGTGCTTAAATATCCGGGCATCAGCAGCAGGTCGTTGATATGCAGCAAAAATAGAGGGGTAATGTATGGGATTTTTTCCCATTTGTCGCAAGTAGAAATCACCACTGGCAACAACTGGGATTTTTCATCCCGTTTGTCACCACCTGCTAACATATGGGATTTTTTTTTCCATTTGTCGCCAATAGGAACCGCCACTGGTAACAACTGGGATTTTTTTATCCCTTTTGTCACCACCTGGTAACATATGGGATTTCTTTTCCCATTTCTCGCCAGTAGAAATCATCACTGGCAACTACTGGGATTTTTTTATTCCGTTTGTCACCACCTGGTAATATATGGGATTTTTTTCTCATTTGTCGCTAGTGAGAACAAAGCCAGTGGTGACAACTGAGAATAAGCGGTATGACAACACGGGTGTCGAACCAAAGATGGCTCTCGCTTTACATAGCCTGCCTCCGTGGACGAACGGTTACCATGTCGGACTGCCACGCAGAGGTCCCAAGTTCGATTCCCGGGTCGGGAGAAATGTTTGGATTTCTCTCGTGAGTTTGGGTGTAATTTGTGGTTGTCTATGTGTGTGTCCATGGCGCCCGCAACACAGGTTTCCCTAGTGCGGGCTATGTTGAGTGTGTGCGTTATTATTATTATAATAATTATTCAATGTCTCCCGGTGTAAAATAATCAATCAACCTTATATTAATAGGGCCGCTAAGGCCAATTTAGTAGTGTAGTTGTAGGCAAGCAGTACACTGTGCACTGCTTGCCTACATTTTATAATTAAATAATACTTTTCCAAACTTTATTTAGAACTTCCAACCAGTGAGGACTGGAAATACGAGTGTTTCACTTGTTCAGACGGTTGCCTCCTTTATTATATTGATGAACCCACCAAAGGCTGTGAGGCATACGTGTGCAATTCAAATTCGGCCACAAACTGAGCATAAGTCGATATACCACTGTACATACATACATATGCCATTCGCCTTTCAGACTGAGATAGACTGAGATTTAAATGATAATTGCAGAAATAAACCCGATGGTAGGTTTTTTCAACTAGATCTTTGAAGGCAGCCTTTCAAGGACTTCTCCCAGTCTCCTAAACATCGAGAATTGTATAGAACTGTGTGAGTTTCCTAAATACTCTTGGGTAGAGAATTATAGTCTTCGCGCTACGTTTCTGGTTTTGTTCTTAATGTTGAGGGCAAGGAGGAAACAAATCAGTTTGTGAAAACTGTAGTCACGAAAGTTTCATTGGTCCTAAACTTTCTTCACTAGGATTCCGCACAGCCTGGCTATGCTAATGCAATGTTGCCTCCAGTGACATCTGGCTACAAGCAAACTTGAACATTTGAAGACCCTTATAAACACCTAAGACCGTTTGTTAAGAGGCTCCTACGCTAGGCAGGAATAACCTACATGTACTGGTTAGATGTGTATGCATAGGGCGCACTGTAAGTTTCCGGAACTGGCCACTTCCATAAACAACATTTAAAAAGTAATTACAACATTTTAAATGGAACTCTTTGGCTGTAGAATACAGTTTGTTTCATCTGACTGTCTCTTATTTTTACATTGTGGCGTCATTTTAGAAATTGGTTGTTTACATCACCATGGATTTAAGTCGTGAAAATTTTCGTAGTATGATTTACTACGACTTTAAGTGTAATTTAACAGGAGCTTCGCTCGGCTTCAAACTGCTTTTGGCGATGAAGCACCATGCAAGGCGACAATTTAAAGCTAGTTTGCAGAATTCAAACGTGGTCGTGTGAATCTCAGTGACAAATATCGTGATGGTCGCCCGTCCACTGCTGTGAACAACAAAAACATCGATGCTGTGCGCCGTGTGATCAAAACAGACAGGCATGTGACATACCATGAGATTCGGGCATCTTTAGACATAGGCATGAGTCAAATACAATCAATACTACACAAACATTTGGGTGTAAAAAGTTGTGCTCTCGGTGGGTCCAACACAATTTGACTGAGGCTCAAAAAACGGATCGCGTCACTTGGTGCAATGCCATGCTTACCAGTTTCAACGAAGGGGCGTCAAATTTGGTGTGAGACATAGTAACGGGTGACGAAACATGGATTTATGGTTACGATCCCAAAACAAAGCAGCAATCGAGCGTATGGGTCTTTCAAAATGAGCCGAAACCAACTAAAGTGGCGCGCGTGCAAAGTGCCTCTAAGCGGATGATTGCTTCTTTTTTTAATAACACTGGACACGTGGCTATTGTTGCTTTGGAGAATCGTTGTACCGTGAATAGTGATTGGTACACGATCATTTGTATGCCGGAAGTCATTGACAAACTCCGTAAAAATAACCGTAAACGCCATATCATCGATAATGCCAGTTCTCACACGGCCAGATAGACAAATGAATTTTTGAAGGTGAACAACGTTGACCTTATGAGCCATTCCGCGTACAGTCCCGACCTGGCACCTTGTGACTTTTATTTATTTCCAAAAATTAAGAACCAGTTACGCGGTCAACGATTTTCATCACCTTAAGAGGCTGTCGAAGAGTATGAAATATATATTTCAGAGATTGTCAAGGAGGAGTGGCATAAATGTTTTCAAAATTGGTTCATTTGTGTGAAAAAGTGCATTAACGCTAACGAAGAATATTTTGAGAAACAATAAATTCATTTCTGACCATTTATAGTATTTTTTTTCTTATTTATTCCGGAAACTTATAGTGCGCCCCACGTAATACTTGTAACACATACACTGTACATAAAATGAATAAATTTGGTATTAATGAAGTTTATTAAATTTTAAATGAATTGATACCTGAATCTGTTCAATGAATTATTTTGTGTGGTGTACTTTACCGGTAAAACCCGTTTCAAGTTGAACCAGGGGTTCGATTCAGAACCTCACGATAACTCGTTTCGATTTCTTTTAGTTTTTAATCACAACACCGGAATCAAACGTCAAACTGACATATACGAAAACGAACCGAAATGACGTCACACCCGTACGATTACTCGAACTTCTTGACCGGCAAAGGCCACAAACGTTATTCACAGTTATCGCAAGAAAGTTACCGAACGTCCTATTGTTTACAAAGCAAGAATGTAATATGGAAATCTCTTATTATTTTAAATAGTCTGGATTTAGTTTATTTTTACAAATTTATTTGAATGCAAGACTAAATGCATTCCTATATTTTAGGCCTTTAAAGTCTTAGAAATGGGTATAAAAGGATTAATGATGAGTTCTACTCTGCCGTGACTCGCTTCAACAAGGCGCGACTGACCAATAAATTGAGCAGTTCACATTTGGGTATTGTTGGTGACAACTCACTTATTTACGTATCTGAACACCTATCACCAGCTAACAAGACCTTAGATGCTGCCACTAGAGCCAAAGCTAAACAACTTTCATATAAATATGTATGGGTGCGAAATGGTCGCATTTTTTTTGCGCAAAGACGAGACTTCGCGTTTTATCCATGTGAAGAACCAGCAAGTACTTGATAATTTGGAAGTCACCTCATATTTAATTTTGTGGCTATTTTATGTTACTATCTCATTTACTTACTTCCAAATTAATTATGGATAGACTCTATTTTTTACCAAAATATAAGAGGAGTAAACACAAAAACTTTTGAAATATTAAATTCAGTTTTAACTGCTAATTATGATGTAATTTATGTGAGACGTGGCTTCATGATTCAGTATTGTCCTGTGAGTTGTTTGATAGTAGATACACAGTTTATCGCGGAGATCGTTCAAATGAGTTCAAAAATAAATACAATAAGTCACACGGTGGTGTGGTTCTCATTACCGTAAGAAAAACCTTCTTAAGTTCCGAAATGTCCAGGTGGCACTTTTCCATGGATACGTTTGGGTTACCATACATTTCTACAATTTTAACTTAAATATTTGTACTGTTTATTTGTCCTCGTATATCAGTGATATATTACATCGCATTTTTGGATAACTGTGAGCGTATTATTATGACATCAACAAATTCTTGCACACTTATTGCTGGAGACTTTAACTTGCCCGATGTCGACTGGCTTACAACATGTGCCACTAATAATACTAACCGCAGAATTTGCGCTCTAACTGATTTTATTCGCAGAAATAATATGACCCAATCTAACTTTACGTTAAATAAGCACAATAAAATTTTTGACCTGGTGTTCGTGCAGTCTGACATGTCGTGCAGTGTTATTGAATCGCAAGCATTGAGTCGCTGTGATAATTACCACACTCCACTTGACATAATTTTTCAAATACATTCCCCTAAATTACCAATTCTGAAAGAGAACCGC